CCAAACCTTATTTGCATGCTGCCCATTCAAACTTCATGTTGTTAGCACTGGTGGGATGGTGGTGATGGCAGTGCAGGCTCCTGTTTACACGTGTATTTTGGGAATGAGCCTTGTCCCATATCGCTCTTGCACAACTCTGACAATTTGCAGCCATTTGAAAACACGCAGCAGGAAGTGAATGTATCAATAGTTTAATGGTATGAAAGTTAAAGCCCCGAGCTGAGCTGTGTTTTGTTTTCCTTCCCCCAGCATTGACAAGATCTCTAAAGTGACCTCTCCTGTGCTGGTCATCCACGGTACCGAAGATGAGGTGATCGATTTCTCGCACGGCCTGGCCATGTACGAGCGGTGTCCGCGAGCGGTGGAGCCCCTCTGGGTGGAAGGGGCTGGGCATAATGACATAGAGCTTTATGCACAGTACTTAGAGAGACTAAAACAGTTCATATCTCATGAACTCCCCAACTCCTGAAGAAGCCTACCTGATTTTACCTCAGTTACTGTGAACGGAAGAAATTACCTGTTTTTGCACATGCTTTAACTGGATAGCTGTAATAGCTTTATACTATGAAGAAATGCCCTGCCTTGAGGGTGTTCTAATCAAACATCTGATGAAATTTGTCTTTTATATCTGGAAATGATTCTACTAATGCACACAAATATGGTCAACTACTGTAATTCCAACAATTTTTAGCTTCGTTGCCCTGAAGGAAGTGGGAATCCTAGCTGCTTATGGGGACACTTTTTACCTAGTGCTGTATTAATCGAAGATCAGTTTTCTCTGTCTCACTTCAGATCATTTATAATTCTGTCCTACAAAGACTTTTTCCCCAGTGTTCTCAGTGTGGAGAACACAACTGTTATGAGCTACAGCTTGTTCTGAACAATCATGGGTTCAATCTAAGGGAGTGCTTTCTCTGTGAAGTTTCTAGCTGTGGTATTGTAACTGGAAAGTTATTGTGATGAAGTTCCCCCTCCTCCCCTCTAGTGTTCTTTTGTTAACTTACTGATCTTCCCAAGTAAATTATTTAAATATACTTTTACCTGAAAATAAACAAACTACTATATGGGGCTAAACTCTGTAACGACCTCTCCATTACTTGTATAAGCATAACTGGAATATTCTTAAAGGATTTAGGGACAAAATTGCTTTTGTTTAAAAATAAATGTGTAAATTTACTATTAGAAAACTCATTTTAATATTCAGATTGTCTGAATAATAGCCATAACAGACATTTCCTTCTGTAAAGCATTCCTGTAGACTTTTTAAAAGTACTGTACATATTTGAATTTACATTGTGCATAGATTCTTAATTGGTAGTTTTAATTTAAGCCTAGTTACGATAAACTGCAAAATTCTGGTTTGTATATGATTGAATACATTTTGTTAAAATATGTTTTTATCCCTATATTATTTTGCTATTAAAGTTTTATAAAGTTTCCAGGACAAAAAAAAAAAAATTTACACATTTATGTTTTGAAGAATTATGTAACTAAATTTTCATTGAGCTGATCTTTTTAGTTTAGAAGTAATTTGATTCTTTGACACTGGAATCGCACAGATTATGCATCAGAAATGCAAAACACTTAAAAATTGTTACACTGCTAGCATAGGTCTAATTTTTCCAAATTTAAAGGCCTTAAATGTACTGTAAGCCTCAGATTGTTGTATAAATTGATCGCGATTGATTGCAGTTCGTGTCCTGTTGCTAGAACGCAACACAGTGATTGTAATGGAATAAAGGATGCATGGATTAGAGCTTGCTCAAGTTTTGAATCTTATTTGGTGCATAATTTTCATACACAAGGGAAGTATAAATACAGATTGCTTGATAGAGCAACCTAAGTATGTAAATCAAATGTAAAAGAGATTATGTTTAAAGGGCATTCGGCTGGTTTTAAGTACTGAAAAATCATGATTCGTTGCCTGGAAGAAATGTTTGAACACAGTTGTTATAAATCCTTATAATAGGCCTGCAGTTAATTTTCAGCGCTGCAAGTGTGTATTGTCTTTGATTATTGCCTTGGCCCTATTTCTGCAAAAGGAGAAAAACTGGTCTTTTCACTTACAGTGGAGGGAAATGAGGACATGCATCCAGCTCCACGTCATCTGGGTCCTTAGGCTCTGGATCTGTGCATCTGTGTTTTCTAGGTGGGGAGTTTTAAATGTCCCAGGCAGCAGGGCCTCCAGCTGTTGTCTTGATGACTCTTCCAGCCAAACCTAGCAAGTTTTGCCTAATCATCACCTCAAGCTCACCACTTCCCTCCTGTATTTTAAATAAAAGTTCAGATACATGTTTGATTTTATATATATTTATTGTACCTTCATAAATCCACGGTGGTTTTTATTTCAGTGTGTTCTTCCTGAGACTGTAGCCCTGGGAAACAAAGCTGCTGTCTGTGGTACAGGTAGTCAAGGTAACTTTGAGTCAGCCTGTCCAGGTAGTGACTTGGGGGATTTTTGCCTAATTGGGCACTGTTATTTTGATACCCACATTGATCTTTGTATTGGTCTGAAACTTTAGCCTGCAATGTTTCTTCTCCTTATGACCCCCTTATAGCTGCCCTTTTACTTCAACAAGCTGGTACTTATAACCTTTTCCCTATAAATTGATTTTTTTTTTATTACTGCTTTTTCAACACCTGCAGTCATTTTGTGACTTGTCTTTGCAGATGCTTTGCATTTTGTCAGTATTCCTCTGTTAATGAGAGCCTCAAATCTGAATTCAGCATTATTGTATGTGTCCTGTGGTCTCTGCACGTGCAGCCTGAGTTCACAGTGTTCTGGATGAACATGAGTTTCCACTTGGACTATCTTTTATTTGCCTGGATTCCTGCTTAACTAATTCTCAGAGGTGCCTCACTAATCTGGCTTCTGCATTGTCTGTTTGGTTTTGTGAAGTTAATATGCATTTAAGTAACACAGATGTTTTGCTGTTAATTAAAATGTTAATGACCTATCATTGATCCACTGGTATGGATCTTCTTACCATTATTTTAATTCAGTGATTTGTTTACCTGTTTGGTCCCTTAAATAATATTCCTCCTAGCCTGGTTTTCATCCAATAGTTCTTAAATTAATTCTGAAATTTTTATAATTTTCTGATACATGCTCTACACAAAATAAATGCTAGTAGTGAGCTGCTTTGTATTGTGAACTTGTATCAAAGCATCACTTTCAGGCATTTCAGAACACTGCTGGTCAACCTTAGAAGTGTTAGTTGAATAAATGTGGCCAAGTCATGAAGCTGCAGTTAATCCATGACAGTGGATTTCAGGTCCTCATTTTTTTTAAGAAAAAAGGGTTAGAACAGACCTTTTAAATGATGGGAAAGGGGATGATGTGAGGTTATGAAAAACAAAGTTTGGGCTAAAAAAATAGTCTGTTCCAGCAAACTGCTAACACTCTGTCATTTAAATGTATAATGTGGGCCTTTACAAGAACTTGTTATGCATATTTTAGAGCTACCAAGGTGTCACTGTAAAAATGGCTCTGTGTGCCTGGATAAATTATGCAACGGGTCTTCCAAGGGTGTGAGCGATCACTGACATCTTACTGTTGATGGGGATGCTCTGTCCATTTTCCTGTGTGACTGACCATTTGTGTTCATGTAGTACAGCCACTGATGATGTATGGCGTGTTTGCAGGAAGGTAAGATGTGGTACATCTGTTAACTATCAGTAGTTGTCTAGTGCTTGCACTTAGAAAAAGCCAGAGAAGAATATTCGTTACAACTTCAAAGGTGGCATTTTCCAAGAAGTCTGATATGTATCCTTTTAAAATTTATGTAACTGTTATAAATTTAACTTGTACTCACAGGGAGGCCTGTTACCTGTGTTGCCTCTGCCGCGTTTTTGTTCCTCGTTCTTCCATGTCATTCCTGTAACTTGTGCTCTGCTCGGGGCACTGGCCCTTTAGCTCTAAATACCTGAACCTGTATTTATGCTTAGCATTGTACACATCTTCTATAAACTCTGTATTGTATTTGCTTTTTCTAAATGGTGCTAAACATAGAAATAGAGACCCAACGTACCTGCTTCCTCTGGTTATTCGTTCAGCCGTAAACCTCGATAGTTCTCATTTGGAAAGTGTTTTCTCCCTTAGGTTATTCTCGTGAATGCAGACTGATGATCTGGTTTAAGCCCATTTAACTTTTTTCCTCTATATCCTTTTTTTGTTGAGTTCTCCAGCTATTTCAGCTCTGAAGTTTCTTATATGACAAATGCAGTCGTTTGTACTCCAGCGCTGGGTAAGGGTAGGGGGCCTCTTTGATGGTGGGCACTGTTCTGTTGAGAATGAGGTTGGGCACAGAAACTACCTGCGGAGCCTGTATTGCTTTCCAAGTCCAGTGGTAGTTCTTAGATCAGATGGGTATGAATTTCAAAGTGAGAGGTTGCCTTTGGGTCTCATAACTTTGCTACAGCAGTAAAAAGCAGGAGCTGGTCCTTGCAGCAGGAGAGCAAGCACTGCTCCTTTGACTCTGCCTCTGTCGATGTTTCGTTTTGAAGCTGGGTTTCTGCAGTAACCAAGCTAAGTCAGCGGAAAGTGTTAGGGTGACGTGCCTGCTATCTTAAAAACAAACAAACAAAAGAACCCCCGAGAAGACCCCTACACCATTAGTCTGTCAGTTATAAATTCCCTGCTGGTTTCTGTACGGGTAAAGGTGCTTTGGTTTCCTTAGGGCCCGGCCGTGGGGTGCTGCGAGCGCAGCGCGTCGCCTTCTAAAGTAGAATTCTGGGCTGGCTGTACCTGGGCGCTGCTGAGCGCAGCTCTCTTGGCTCTTCCGCTCCGCCTGGGACGGAGCTGGCACTTCCCTCGCTCGCAGAGGCCGGAGCATCCCCGCTCCCCCGGGCCGTGCCAGCGGCGGCTCGGGACAGAACCGGCCCTTGTGTCCGGCGGGGGAATCCCTCCCGGGCAGCCTCCATCCGCCTGGCTCGTTGCCGAAGGGCAGCCGGGCTGCGCTCCGTCTCTCCCCGCGGGGCTGCCCGGGGTGGCCGCGGCCATGCCGCCGGGGACGGGGGCGGGCGGGGGGCGCCGGGATGGGAGGGAGCTCTGCGGGGCTCCCCCGAAGAGCCCCAGGGCCGCCCGGCTGCTGCTGCTCCAGGTGATGATGGTGATGGTGGTGGGCGCCCGGCCCGGGGCGCAGGCGACGAGCGGACACGGTGAGTGACGACCCGGGGACAGGCGGTCCTGCCGGGGGAGGCGGTGCTGCAGCCCAGGGAGCCGAACCCCCTCGGGGCTGGGGCCCAGCTGCCAGCTCGGACTGCCCGGGCTGTGGCTGTTCGGGGAGAGGAGAAGGCTCAGGGCTGCTGGAACTGACCCTTTCTTTGTTTGGAGAACAGCGAAATGGACACAACACACCTATGGATCCCAGTTTGACTTCAAGACAAACATAGGTGGCTTGGTTTGACTGTGGCTTTGAAGGTGACTGCCAGCAGTAGGTCCTTCATTTATTTTCTCCTTTAGTCTCTTAGGCCTTTTTTTTAGTTTAAGGGCTGCCTCTGAAGACAAGACATCGATCCAAAGCTTGGTTTATTCTAAATAACGTTTTGCAAAGCAGTTTGTTCTGGAAGCTTGCAGACCTGCTCAAAGATTTAACATTGCTTACATTCCAAGTCTCTCGGCTGCAGCGGTGCCATTAGGTGCACTTAGGAATGCTCTGGATCTCCCCCAGCCTGATTCCCTTTGGCTCAGACCAGCACCAGTGGGATGGCAGCGGTGCCTGCCAGCCTCCTCTGCATGGAGGAGGAACCATGGACCCTCCAATAACCTTCCATAACCTCCCCCTTACTGGGGTCCTCCTGGAGCTGGGTCCTCCTTCCAGTCTCCTGGGGAATTCCTCTCAGGCATCTCTAACAAGCAGTTCACCTCCTTCCACGCCAAATTAACGGAAGAGCTCCTTGATCCGTCAGGGATCTTACGAAAAAGGCTCTTTCAATGCCTGTCGATTGCTCTGAATGAAAGTTACAGTAAAGATGCAGTGCTGCTTTTGTTATGACGTGTTCCCAAGTTACCCGCTGCCATCTAGTCCTACCAGTCATATTTTACAGTTTCTAAGTAATGCACTGTTATATTTCAGGGGTGGATTGCAGATGTAAATGGGTATTTTGATATGTGAAATTCCAACATAGTAGTAGAATACTTAATTAATGCAATTACAATATGCAAGCAATCTTCTCGACCCTAAGTCACAACTACTTGAAGCTGATAACTTTAATCTTGAATCAAACAAAAATCAACAAACCTGAAGCTTCTCAAACATGCTGGGCTGGGATGCCCCTCTCGGAAATAGAAGAATAGTCTTAAAAGTCCTGTTCTCTGCTTGGAAATGAAAGGAAAGGCCACAGGAATATTCCAGGGCTCCCAGGATGTGACCTCCAGCCTTTAGCAGGGTGCTGTTACACTAAAACATCCACCATTTCAAACACTTCTGGCAACATGCCATGGAGTTCTGGATTCCTTGTCCCTTTTAATTATCGGAGCTTTCTTGTGTGTTTGCAGCCCTACTTATCATGAACTCCCAAACTACTTATGTTGCATGTAATTGTTTTATTGATCAATTCTCAGAGTGTAAATTGAACCTTTGGGCTCAGCCTGGAGAAAGGAGAGCTGGGTAGGGGCACTACCTTAGAAGCAAGTTTGAGCTCCAGAGAATGACGATTCTCCCTTACCAGTACCTTCTTATCGCAGGATGAAGTTACTGTGGCCTTTGAGCAGCTACAGCTTAACCTTGTTACACCAGGCTGATGGTTTTAATCAGCAGGCAGAGACCAGAGAGGGCACCTAGAAAGCAAAACTGAGCCTTATGTTTAAATCCAACCTATATATCTGTTAGAAAATTAGAGACTGTGCTGGACCCTGGGGCTGGACCCAAAATGCAAATGGCTCAGTGGAAGTGTAAAGGTTTCCTTTCTTAGGCAACTATAGAAAAGGCTTTTACAGTCTTTATTAAAATAATTATTTTTCTTAATGTTTTTCAGAAAATTTATATGGACTAGTACATATTCTTTTGGTTATGAGGGGGTTTTTTTTGCAACCTGTGTACTCTGGGGTGTATGTATGAATAACTAAGATAGTTTTCCTGAGCATTACAGAAAATGGTAGTTTAAATTAAAAATTACAGATGATCATTATTATGTTACAATACCTAAAAACATAAGTAGCTCAAATCTATTGATTTGGTCTGTTGAAACATTCAGTGTTTGTCAAAGTAGTGCAGTGATCTGCACTGTATCCAGGGCTGCAGCAGAACACATATAAATGCAGATAGATATAGATATGCATATATTTTGAGGAAACAAACTGCCTGGGATTCTTTGCTGTTTATGTTTTTATGTTTTCTTGTATTTTTGGTTTTACTGTATTTGTGATTATTTCAGAACATGGCCTGAATCCCAACAGTTCTTTGTGGGATACGGATTACAAAAGACTGTTGCACAGTAAGAAAACCCTTTGTGGCACCGTGGCCTCTTACAAACCCTCCAGCTCATTCAGAAGCAGCTCTCTCCTAAGTTACCATGGAAGGAGAAGTTTGCTAAGTCAGAACCTGGACCAGAAGCCACAAGAAAAGCAGTTGTCCTGTGATATGCTCCTTAAACTCTCCAGATACATTTTAATGGATATCTTTAGACCTAGCTTGGCCTGGAAGCTCTTTCGGTTTTGTAACTGTGATCGAGAAGTCAGCTTCCCCAAAATCCGCATCAGTCCCCTCAAGGTGGCCCAGCACAAGGTGAAGCAGTTCCTGCTGCGCAGAGTGCTCCAGCTCCTCGGGAATATGGGACCGCTGTTTGAAGCTCAGCAGTCCAAGGCCTTCTCTCTGCTCAAGAAGCAAATGGTTAAACCAAAGAAAACGCCGTTAAAGCCCGAAGAGGAGCGAAGTGGTAGGTACACAAGGAGGAGATGTGGGTTCGGTATCTCTTTGGGGTGCTGTCTCAGCAGAATTGCCGGGCTGGGCATCACTGGGTGCAACCCAGTGGTTCTGATCCGTGCCAGGAGGTGCACCCGGCGTTCGGGCTGAGCAAGAGGCGGGACGCAGGGTGCTCGTCCCTGGGTAGGAGGACTGATAGGAGGGCAGGAGGGCTGATAAAAGGTCAGCAGGGCTGATAGGAGGTCAGGATGCTCCCGGGTGCGGGCGGGTGTTCCCGGCCCGCGGGCAGCGCCTGTGCAGGGGCGCCGCCTCCCGCCCGGCCGCGGCTCTGCAGGGGCAGCTCCTGTTCCCCCCGCGGGAGAGCGGAGCCCTGTCCGTGTCCGTGTCCGTGTCCGTGGGGGGCTCCGAGCACGCAGGTTTGGTGGCTGAGCTGGCGCTGAGCGCACCAGACCCCCCCACGGCCGGAGTTTATCCCGCGGCGCCTCCAGTCCCCTGCTCCGTGGGAACGGGGTGTTGCTCAGGGGATGTTGCCTCCGCTTCTCCTTCCTTTCTCGGAGCAGTAAGGAGGAAACAGGAAACTGCCCAGAGAGGGAGTGTGCCCGGGAAAAAAAACACTTACAAGAGGAGGAACCATCCTCCCTGGAGTGCCCGGGAAAACCGCTTACAGAGAAGGAACCTCTCCGCGTTCCCGTGCGAGAGCTGAGTCCCTGGGCAGGGGTGTCTGTGCCTTGGGTGTCGATTCCGGCAGGCGACTCATTCGGAGCAGCTTAGTTCTCTGCCCTTGCCTTAACATGAATGTTCTCAGCCACCGATATTTGTTATGGAACGTTACAGCTGTGTTTGTAGGCAAAGCATCACAGTCCTTGCAACGTGCTGTCGAGGTTGTCTTATTCCTGGCAGCCCGTTACAGAAAATGACCCATTTTTGTTTGTTAGAAAGGTAAACTACAGTTTATAACTCACCATGGCACTCGGAGGAGGGTTGAGGTCGGTGATTTTTGTGAGGAAGAGTTACACCAGGCGTGTGTTGGAGGCAGTGAGTATTAGTCATGATTTCTCACTTGCAGGTGTGAGGATGTTCAGGAATGTTCTCATGCTGCGGATGCATCCTGTAATGGAGTGCTGTGGTAAAGCTTCAACACAGTGCTGCTGCAAAACAGAAATCAGCATGGAAAATGAAATTTGTAAAAGAGTGAAAGGAAAAGAGTTTACCTCTCAAGCACCAACCTACAGATAGTAATGGGTGCTTCTGTGTTTACCTTACAAAGAGATAAGAATCTTTAAAAAACAGGGTAATATGTCCAGTCTCAGCCTGAAATTTTCTTCCTCAGGTCAGTGAAAACTTAATGTGGGGTGAAATGGCACTGAAATCATTCACTTGAGAGTAGTTCTTTCAAAAAAAAAAAGAATCAAACCAGTCTATTTATGTGGATTCTGAGACTACAGAGGAAAAACTGTTTTGAATGATGTGAATGAACAGTGCTCACACCTCAAAAATTTTGGTTTCTTGTTCAGGAAAAGTCCCGGGTAAGCAGGAGTGACTTCGGCTTTGTTGATTGTTTCATGAGGCCTGCAGAAAGCTTAGCATTAACCAAAGCCTGGCTTATATTTACTTCCACTATGTTAGATTATTCATTGTTGCCTTTTATTTAGATTGTAAGTCTGCTAAATCTTTTGCATGAAGTAAATATTTTAAATAGCAATGTATGACGTTTCTAAGGCTCGGGCAGGTGTGAAGTAGAGGTTCAGGTCCTCTTCTAGCTCAAATTCTGTACTTCTAAAGCCATTGAATTCAGGGAATTTAGTATGTTTTAAGACAAAATATTGCTATCTGTCTCGTCTTGCCTGAAATTTCCACCAGTAGATAAATCTTTTTTTAAAAAAATTGCTACTTCTGGTAGCAGCTCTGCTTTCCCATGACCTGCATTCATATGTGTCATATTCAGATAAGGAGGAGGCACAACGCTGACTAATGCTGCTTTTTTGGAAGGAAAATGACAAAAGCTATTTGAGACAGGAATAGAAGTGCCAGCACTAAATGACAGATGAACAGCCGGTAGCAAAGGTGGCAGCTCTAACGTTTCCCTGTATTTATGGAGTACTGAAACAAGGGAGTGTTATCGGGATTTGTTTCTGGGCTGGATGCTTATCTTCAGATTCAGCAATTCTCTGGGTCCCAGGACCAGGTGTAAGAGAGTGGATGGGTTTTGTTTAGCATAAGTGAGTGTTGCTCCCTCTCCAGAGCTGCTGTCTGAGGCGTGGGGCATGGCTGTGCCCCTCACCCACCCTCCTGCTTCCAGTCTGTTCCCATATTTTGTCTGACAGCACTTGCTCCTTATTAACATGACTATAGCCTCTTTGTGCCCTCTGTCAGAAGAAATCCTGCACCAGAATAAATTTCAGAGGTGACAGATTGGAACAGTTTGACCAGATGATGGCACACAAATGTCTCAGAGACCGACAGCACCTGTGGCTCTGCACCTCTATGGCTTTGGCCCTGGGCAGGAGCAGTGGCTGGCACTTTTGCCTGCCCACTTTCAGCTTGTCCTCTCTGGATGTTGGGTTGTGGAGAGGAGATGAGGGATTACAACCCTGGGAGAGAGAAGGCAGCAGCTGCAGTAAAATAAATACAGGTACCTGTATTTATGTGCCACACAGAAGCTCAGGTGTGCTGTATTTTAGAGCCTATAAAAAACTGTGATGTTCTGGTACATGGAAAACGAACCAGTGTGTGATGGTCAGTGATAGGTGTGAGAGGCGTGATGATGTGACAGACAGTGCCATGTCCTTTGAGACTGGAACGCCAGAAAGGCAGCCCCAGGCCAGGGGGCTAAAAGCATATATTTTTCTTTGAGGTTGTGTCTTGTCAGAGAATGTTCTAAGCCTTTTCCTCTCACTGTAGACTTACTACAGGTTGATTTGGCAGATGATGGGAGGTGAAGTGCCTCTCTGCTCACTCGCTGTCAGGGGAGCTTTTGCAGCTGTTGGGTTATAGTGTTGTCCATAGATCTGCCAGACATAGGGCAGTACAGGGCAAAACACCCCCACGGGAAGGTGCCAGAGGGGTCAGCTGCCCCCCAAGAAGGGCGGAGGCATGCCAAGCCCCAGTGAGCACATCGGGGTCTGAGGCTGGAGCATCTCAGCCTGCTGCCCTTAGGAAGGCAGCTGGCACCCAGCAGCACGCTTTGCTCGGGGCTGCTGACCCCAGCCAGGTGCTTTGTGGGTCTGCACAGACCCCCCCCCAAGCCCCACTCCCCTCACCCCGGGGAGCTCGGCTAGGAGCCCGCAGCTCTCGGGGGCTCGTAGCCAGAGAAGACCTTTCCGTGCGGGAAGCGGGGCTCCCCCCGGTCCCGGGCATCAGGGCGCCCGTCGCAGATATACGTCCAGGCTGGAGGGATCGTCCCCGGCTGGGAGGAGCCAGCGGCTCCGCCGCTGTAAACAGTGCGGGCACCGCCAGCGGTTGGGAGATGGATATAAATAGGGAGGCGGAGGGGAGACAGCCGGAGCGGCGGAGAGGGAGCTGCCTGCGCCTGCCTGCCCCTGCCCTGCCTGCCCCGCTGGGTGCCCGGCAGCCCGAGCCAGCAGCTCCGAGAGGCGTCGAGTAGAGTCCGCGGTCGGCGCTGCCGGGACGCTCCAGGTAAGCGTCTGCAGCGAAGTTTGGAACGCGCCGGTGCCGCTCGTCGATCCGCCGCTGGGTTTGCTCCGCGCCGGCTCCCTCTGTCCGCGCTGCTGTTCTGGTGCCTCGCCGTGTCCGGGGTTGCGTGGAGCGGGGAGGGGGATTCTGCTTTCGTTTTTGCGACGTTAACTGAAAGGGGGGAAAAAAGGAAAAAAAAAAAAAAAAAAACAAACAACAAAACCAAAACGCATCGAAAGCAAATGTGCCACTCGCCGGCTCCGTGCAAAGCCGCGGCGCACGTGTTGCGGGCGGGGGCGGCCCCGCGGCCGCGGGATGCAGGTAGAGGCTGCGGGACCGCCCGGGACGTGCCGAGCGCGGGGAGCCCCGGGGAGCCGTGCCTCCTGCTGCCCTTCGCGCCGGACCCGGAGACAGTCCTGGTCCCGGTGCCGCCGCGGGACGCGCCGTGGAGCAGCGAACGGCGGCAGCGCATCAGGTCGGTACCGCGCCCCTCCGAGCCCCTCCACCTCCCGGCCCCGCCGCCGCTGCCGCCGCCCGTCTCTTGCAGGGCCCTGCCCGGAGGCCGTCCCGCACCTCGCCCCGTGGCGACCCGGCTCCGACACCCGCCGCGCCGCCGTGGTGGGCCGGGGGACGGCCCTGCGCCTCGAGAGCTCCGCCGCCTTCCACTCCCTCGTCATCCGCGACGGAGGTAAGTGGGGCCGCCGCAGTCCCGGAGCCCGGGTATTGCGGGGGGCGGCCCGGCCGTGCCCGCCGGTGGGGACATCTCCCGGCCCGGCGATTCGCGCACCCAGCTCCGCTCCGCTCCCCTCGCCACGCAGGGATACTCGTGTTCGCCGACCACCCCCACGGGCCGCCCATCACCCTGCGGGCCCGCTACATCCTCATCCACGACGGCGGGGAGCTGCATATCGGCTCGGAGCGCTGCCCCTACGGGTCGCGGGCCACCATCTCACTGTACGGGCGAGCCGCCGAGGGGGCGGCCGTGGAAGGCTTCGGGCAGAAGTTCTTGGGCGTGGGTCCTGGCGGCGTCCTGGAGCTGCACGGCCGGCGGCCCCGCTCCTGGACACTCCTGGACAAGACGCTGCACCCCGGCGGGCTCCGGCACGGCCCCTACTCCTCCGAGAGGCGATGGGGCAGCCGCGGGCTCAACATCCGCGTCCTGGACGGCGGCACGGCGCGGGTGCTGGCGGCGGGGCGCTTCGACACCCACCTGCGGCCGGGCGAGGGCCGGCGGCTGCGAGCCTTCCTGGCCCGGCAGCCCCCCGGCAGCGTGGTGGCGGCGGCCGTGGGGGACTCTGCCGCCCGCAGCCTCACGCCGCAGACGCGGCTGCTGCTGCGGGACCGCCTGGGCAGCAGGTTCATCGCCCGCCTGGGATACAGGTGAGGCGGGGGCGGGAGCAGAGGGGGGCGGGAGAGGAGCCACCATGGACAGCTCCGCGCGGGGCCGCGCTCCGCCGGGGGCTCGTCCCGACCGAAGGGCGGAGCGGGGCTCGGCCCGGCCCGGCCCGCGGGCGGGGGGCGGCGGGTACCCCAGGTAGGGATGCGGCGGGCAACCCGTGCCAGAGGGAGGGAAGTCGTGTCGCGCTGCTTTCTCCCTCTTGCCCAAGATTTCTGCTGGGTGGAGGGTTCGGGATGTCACCACTTTGCTCATTCCCTGTCTCCTTCAGGCAGCCCTGGGCGCTGGTGGGGATCCTCGGAGGGGATCAGCTCTTCACAGCAGAAGATAAGCGGGAGTATCACGGGAATGGAACAACGGGGTTAGCCATAGCCCAAAGAGATTTCCTCACCTACGACGGCACCCGTTTCACTGTTACTGCTTTCAGTGGGTGGATAAAAGGTTTGGTCTTCCCTGATAATTGCTTGTCTTCTGTTGCTTTGCTTTGCTTTTTTGGCTGCTATGAGTCTGAGCAGTGAAATGATAATCATACCATAAACTTGACTCGTGTGGACAGTGACCAAACTAACAGCAGTTCTCTCTCAAAGTAACATTTCAGCTGCCTACAAAGAGATGGCATTGACGTATTTAATGGCTAGAGTACTCCTATCATGCACAGCTATCTAGATAAAAATTAAATTAGTATGCTCTTCAGTTAATTGCATGATTCTGCCATGTGCAACTGTAAAAATAATTGATTCCTTCATTTTTTCAGGGGTGCCTCATAATGGATTTAAAGTGGAAGTGACCAAAGGATTAATTATTCATCTGGTGGATGAGGTTACAAGCTGGTTACCTGGTGATCGTATCGTCATTGCCAGTACAGACTATTCTATGCATCAGGCTGAAGAGTTTAATCTCCTTCCTTGCCCTGAATGTAAAAGTAATCAAGTGAAAATTGATGGTATGAAATATTTTTATCAAACTACTTGTTTGCGGTAACTATTTACATCGTCTCATCTTTTACATTCTACTTACCTTTTTAACTCACGGACACACATGAGAGCTGAAGGGCCCAACATTATAGTTGGACTTGAAAGGTTGTCCAGAGGCAGCACTCCTTTGTAGCAGCCTGGGGAAGTGTTGATCTCTTCTGGAATCAAATATTGGGTACATCCCCAGATCTGGTGATTTCTTAAATGAAAGGTGTGCACTTGCTCAGATCAATACAATAACAAAGATATTGTGTTCACTCTGAATTAAAAGGTTTTTGATTTCCACAGGCAGCCCACTTTATCTTCACATTGGAGAAATCATAGATGGTGTTGACATGAGGGCAGAGGTTGGTCTTCTGACTAGAAACATACTTATTCAAGGAGAAATGGAAGACTCCTGCTATGGAGAAAACCAATGCCAGTTTTTCTCTTTTGATACATTTGGAGGACACATTAAAGTGAGTGATTTTTAATGAATGTGCTTGTAGGTGGTTTCTGAGTTCCTTTCCTTTGTAAGCAAGTGAAAGGATTAATGCACAAAACTAACATGGTGTCTGGGGGAAAAGGTATATCTGTCTATGAAGAAGCAGGAAGTTTGTTGGCCTGTTTTGCCAACTTCCTATAAGTTTGTTCCATTTTCCTCATTTTGCAAAAAGATACCCTTCTCTGGGCTAGAGGGGATTCTTTAGCTGCGTTGCTGTCAGTAGAGTTAATGTGAAGTTAGTTCACAAGGTACCACTGAAGAAATTGTGCTTCCTGCAGAGCAAACCTGTTCCCTCAGAGAAGTGCTGGGTCTCACCCTATTGTGCTTCATGCTCTAGGTGGAGGTGCAGAGTCTTGCTGTAGTGGGAGCTTTATGTAAAGCTGCTCCTCCACCAGTCACTGGCAATCAGGGAGCTGTGCAGGTCTGGGCTAAAATCACTTGACAGAGTAAAAGCTGCCAGGAAATAGAGCCTGGTGGCAAATGCTCCCCCTTTCTGTAGTTGGCAGGAGTACTGTGTCTGTCACTGCTATTGCTAAACACTGCACATGCTGTTTGGCAGCTGCTCCTTGGCAGCCCGTAGGTGTGCAGCTGCTGGCACAGGGCTCTGCAGGTCCTGAGCTGTTGTGAGTGGAAATAGGGAGCTGACACTTCCTCCTGGGATCAGACCCCATTTTTCCCTGCAAACATATTGCCTAATGAGAGAAAAAAAGCCCAAACCTGTTTTTCTCTTTGTGTGCGTTTCTATTGTAATGTTTTACTTGGATCTACATTTGTCTCAACAGATCCTAAGGAATTTCAGCTCTGTTCACATGTCAGGAGTGGAATTAAAAAACATGGGGCAGCAAATCCTGGGCAGTTACCCTGTGCATTTTCACTTGGCTGAGGATGTGGATGAGAGAGGGGGATATGGACGCCCAACGTACCTCGATAACCTGGCTATCCATCACTGCTTCTCTAGGTGTGTTGCCATACATGGAACTCATGGCCTTCTGGTAGGAGACACATTTTATTAGTACCAAGTTCAGCTCTTTGCTTAGCCAGTGCTAAACAGCACGAGCCATTTGTGATGTAAAGAGAAATCAGAACACTGAAATAAGGCATCTTTTCCCCAAGAAATGTACCAGCTTCTCAACTTTATTTGCCTCGTGTTGGAGTTAGGACTGTTCCTCTGATAGTGCAGTTCTTTGAAATGAATTTCAGGTTCTTAGCATAGCCTAGTTAATATTATCAAAGGTGTGATCAGATGTAGTGAAATCTTTGCCTTAGTAATTCTGGACAATTTGTGATAACAGGAACTTTCATTTAAAATTAAAGCAAAGGACTTTAAATGGAGTTGACTGAAGCAACGGACCTTTAATTTTCAATGGAGATAAAAAAGACAGGGGTTGTTCAAGTCAGAGCAATGTGAAACATATCCAAAAATGTTCACATGACAAAGCGAATGAAATATGAGCAGGACAGACCCAAACGGCCACTTCAGTGCCAGAAAAGACCTCAGGAACTTGGCTTTGACCTAGATCCTCACAAGGGCATTGTAAAGAGGAACTTAAAAAAATAAAAAAGCCTTTAACAACAAAAGATATGCATGTCTCAGCTGGAAAAGAGAGATTCCTGCTCCAGTCCCAGCATGTCCAGTTGCTGTGTGCTCTGCAAGACCCTGAGTGGTGTTTTGGTGTCTGAGGCCATTTCCTCATTCACTTGGTGTGTGCTCACACAGAGACATTCCCTGAGTTATCCATGACCTCCTGTGCTTGTCCTGACAACTTTTTCTCAGTCCTGGAGAAAAAGCTGTGTAAGACACAACAGAGACATGCTCTATGTGTGAAAGAGTCCCCCTGAAAGGATGTATTAAAGAAAATGCGATGCTGGACCTGTACCAGTTGGGAGCACTGTTCATGTATTCTAAACTTGATATATATTGTCCATATCACTCACAATTATTAATTGCCTTCTAATATTCATCATTTGCTCTGTTTGCAGAGCCTGATTCTGTGTAGAGAGCCTGTAGGTTGGCAGAAGAATTGTCTAGTACATATGGACGTAGCTTATTTCTTTCTCCTCCTGTGGGTATTAAACCTCTGGAATTGAAGTGACTGGCCTAGAATGAAAAATTAAGCTTTATGCTAATAATAGTCCTTTAAAGAATAGCACATGGTCTTACTCTTTATCAGAAAGGAGGTTATCAAAAGTTTATCTGGATGTGTGGGATGAAATAGTTGTGAAATCAAGACTCAAAGTGTGAGATCAAGCCTACTCATGTGATTGCTGAGGGCTTTTGAGCCTGTGAATCAGTGAATAGATTTTAGATGTGTGATTTTAAATATGTGATTCTGTGTAAGAATTGTGTGGTTGTGATATACAGTCATTAAGAAAAAGAGTGATTAAAATGTAATAAAAAGCCTTGCTTTAAAATGAATTAAAATAATTTGCAGTTCCCAAGAAAAGCATGTGTTTCAAAGCAAGGCAGTTAAATAACAAAGAGGGGCACCTGCTTCAGCATCGGATTATGAAACTCCATCCCTTGAGGCAGAGTAAACCAGAGAGGTGGTTTTCCCCATTCCTGTCCTGAGGGTTTAGAAGATGTAATTGTAGAAGGACACTGGTGGAGTGGTTTGTACTCTGCTGTGCAAGGATCACGCAGAGCTGTCCGCAAGGCCCTTCCCCATCTGCTGCTCCACGTGCCAGGCTGGTGCTGCTTCGCCAGCCGGCGGCAGCTTGGGTTCCTGACGGAAGCTGGAAGCAGGCTGTGACCTGCCTCTGTGGCCAGACACACGTCAGGCGTGTGCAGGCTGCTGCAGTCTTTCATGTCTGATGTTGCAGCGCATAAAGGTCACTTATATTGTGTTGCTGAACTATATATAATTCAGTGTTTAGAGGCACCTTAGTCATCTGCTGTTGGACACAGCAGCAAGGCTGCAGCCTGTGCTGTAGACAGTGTTTCATGCTGGCACATGCAGTAATGTGCCCCTGTGACAGTGCTGCAGGTGGGTGCCTTTCCAGGCTTGTATTTTCAATTGATGGTATGCTGGAATTGACTGGGGTTTTGTTCTGGTATATGGACCCTTATCTTCCAGAGCAAGTGGAAGTGATCTTTTAATCACGTTATTTCTGGTCAGGAGAGTGATCACTATGGTGTCCTGTGTGTAACCTTTCAGGGCTGCCACGCAATTCTGAAGCTGGGTCTAATCACATTAATTAGAGCTAAAATCTGGTTTTGGATACAAGTCTGGTTTTTCATGCAGCCGTTTGAAGCACAGATTAGCCAAACTGCAGCTAAATGCAGAAGAATGAAACTCTATAATTGAAATGCTGTTTAAAACAATGAGTGGTTTGTTGTTACAATGTTCTTTCCAAAAATAGTCCTCCGTGGCCTCCTTAGCGCAGCTTCTGCCCATCACTTGGGAGAGTAGAAGTAGCCAGGCTTATTGATCTTAGCAGGCTGGCAGAGACACTTGCATTTTTGTCTAAATCCATTTCCTAAATCTGTATTTGCCAGACTCAGCTGGCAGGGAGGGACATGTTCAGTGTTGCTGTACTTAGGTTCTCTGTCACCCTCCCTGCAGCTCACTCTGAGCTGCTGTACCTGTGCGCAGAGTCTGTAGATTTCCAGCACCCCATCCGTAGAGTTGAGTACCTGGATGTGTTGTGGTGTATTTTTAACTCTCTTTTGAACACCTCATTGAGGCAGAAACAAGAGCAGCAGATGACAAGTTAGAGGAGTGACTGCCAGGAAAACAATGAAATCCAGCAGAGATATACCTATGGGGACTATACTGTTTGTGACTCCAGATGTTATGTACAGTTGCAGCCCATTAAAGGGAAATTACAGGATATGATTCTACAAAATGGATTTATTTCAAGTCTCCCTCTGTATACAAAAATAACCAAGTAGGTTAATATTAGTTAATCTTGCAGTCTTACACAGACATAACTGACGTCAACAGGAATTTTGTGTGCCTGAAGAGGGAATATATATATGCTGACAGGGATCATTTGAGTACAAAGTTAAGGTTTCAGTAAGATTTAGTAACAAATAGCTGGCATTTTAACTAGCCTGATCTAGTATTTAAATTTAAAAGAAGGATTTCTGAATTTATCTTCATAAGACTGTACATCAAAGGAGGATTGTGTTAAGTCCTCTTGGTCGAATTAGGGTTTAATGCAATATCCCTGAGCATGTCAATTAATATTAAATAGACTGAAACAGTAAAATACCATCTCTGCCCAGGATGATCATTACAGGAGTAGAGTGGCCAGGCACCTTCTGAGAACGAAGGAGAAAGAACAGAAATCTCGTTAATATCATTTACTTCACATGGTGCATTTTAAAGAATTTCTTACTTTATTTTGGAAGTGTTGCAGTCCCGAAAATTTTTGGATTAACCATGCTAATTTGTTGGTTTACCATGTGAGACATACTTATATTTATGTATCTTTATGCAGATAGTCACTCCATGACACTGAATCAAATATTCTCTTTTAGAGCTGAGGGCGGTTTTAAATTAAGTACTTTGAATTTTTCCTTTAATTATGCATGTGATCTTCTTCAGAGTAGTTTTAATAGCAGTTTTGCTCTATAAGATCAGTCCACAGCTATGCACACTGCATGTACTTCGAGACAGCTCGGGGACTCACTGTGCAGAGGGGTGGCAAACCCGCTCCATCAGTGTTTTGGGAATTTGTTGCTAAGCACAGCACATCAGTTGCAGCTCCTGCTGTAGCCTGTATGCTTTTTCCCAGGTAAAAGACACCATTGGCTATGACACCCTGGGGCACTGTTTCTTCCTGGAAGATGGGACGGAGCAGCGCAACACCTTTTATCACAACCTGGGCCTCCTCACGAGGCCAGGGACGATCCTGCCCTCGGATCGCAGCGAGCTCATGTGCCTTGCCATCCGCAGCCACGTCCACGGGAATTACATTCCTGTGCCAAGCACTGACTGCATGTAAGTGCTCCAGGAGCTGTAGCTGGGTTTTGTACTTACATTGTGTTTCATAGCTGGGTCCCAAAGAACGGTGTGGTGAAACTTGAAAGGTGCTGTTCAATATGAAATGAGAAATTGTAGCTTTTTCTGCCATTTTTCCTTTTAAAACTTGACCGTGTTTCGCTTGCGAAGATATTTACTGACACCTGCATGAATTCTATGCAAGGAATATTTGCTGCTGGTTATTCCTGTCACTGCTTTTAGAGAATCATGGAATAACAGAATGGTTTGGGTCGGGAGGGACCTTAAAGATCATTTCGTTCCAACCCCACTGCCATGGGACACCTTCCACTAGACCAGGTTGCTCAAAGCCCCATTCAGCCTGGTCTTGAACGCCTCCAGGGATGGGGCATCCACAACTTCTCTGGGAAACCTGTGCCAGGGCCTCACCACCCTCACAGTGAAGAATGTCTTCCTAATACCTAATCTAACCCTGCCCTCTTTCAGCTAAAGGCCATTCCCCCTTGTCCTATCACTCTAAGCCCTTGCCAGAAGTCCCTCCCCAGCTCTCTTGTACCACCTTACAGGTACTGAAAGGTGCTTTAAGGTCTCCCTGGAGCCTTCTCTTCTCCAGGCTTAACAACCCCAGCTCTCTCAGCCTGTCTCCACAGGAGAGGTGCTTCAGCTCTCTAAATCATAAATATGTTAGAGCACTTTGCTCATTTCTTAACACCTTTCAATTCTTTATGAGTAGGATGTTAAAGGCTCCATGAAATCTTTCTGATAAGTGCAAGTTGCTCCAGCCCTGGCATAGGCTGGCAACACAGTTTAGCAGAGGAAATTTGTACTTTCGTGTTTTCTGTAAAAGAATGCAGCGAACAAACTTTGCTTAACTGAATTAATTGCAGTTATTGTTGCTGAAATGCTAAGGTTTCTTTTGTGGTTATTACAGATTTATTTTGCATCTTTTTAGTGGATTTTTGATTATTTAATAGTTAAGGTGGATACAAAATATTTGAAAAATCTCTGCCTAGAATGATCAAATTAATTGGTACAGTCATGAGAGAAGGTTTACAGTGTTTTTACATGTGGTCTTTATTACTGCCAAAGATGTTATCCAGTGAAGTAAGACAACAGATGACAATGTTTTCATAGCTATATGTGGCTTCTGTTTGTACCACTGCTGATCTTCCCTGTGAAGAAAAACTCCTCGTTGGGACAAACATAATAATTTTATCTCCTTAATCTTCTGCTTAATGGGCTATTTGCAGCTTGCAAGGCCATTTGCTTTGTTTTCCACAAATGCTTCAGAAATTCATAGAGAATCCCCTAACTCCTACCATTGCGCCTAAAGTTTCAAAAAAAAGACCAGAAGTTTCACTTTCAGACATTTTCCAAAGCTACATAACTTAAAAAAAGATCCTGGATTTCCTTCAGCTGCATTGAACAGAGCTTGGATTTTGTGTTAATGCTCTCATATAATTTACAATAGCTTCAGCATATGGTTCCATAAATGACCATGTTTGACATTACTAGATGGTTTCCTTTCCTTAAAAAGTGTCATTAAAAGGTTGTGGGGAGTTTTAAAGTCAATAGGAGAGTTGTGGCTCAAGTCCAGTGCAGTGCTATGAAAATGTATCCCTTCCTGTTTGGTAACTGCTTAGGATCATTTTGATTTTGGTTTTCAGGGCTGTCAGCACGTTCTGGATTGCAAATCCAAACAACAATTTAATAGAGAATGCAGCGGCTGGTGCTCAGGTAAAACCATTTAATGGCAGAGCTATGCTTTGCCTCCAGTTCCCATATATTGCACTCTTATCAGCGTCATTAGTGTGAGGGCAATAACTGTAAAAGTTTGGATATGTATTTCTGCAACCTTTGTCTCTGTTGAGAACTTTAGATATTTTAAGATACTGTAAGTATTTGCCTACACTCCTCCACTGACTTCCCTCACAATTGTGGCTGGAAATGGTATGTGACATTTCTTAGCAAACATTGATTTTTATTAGTAGTTAAAAGTTAAATGCCCAATCAAATTTTATATTTATATATATATAAATATACACTCTCTCCCTGTTACTATCCTTTATGTTTACCCAAACCCTGTTTGAGTTTAATATGCCCATACAGATCAACTGTTTTCTAATACACCACATGAATTTCACCCACAATAAATGCATTTTTAAAATCCATGTGTGCGCTCCCCGGAGACCCACTGTGCATGCCAAAGGATAAGCTGGAAGGTGTAAGAGATATGGGCTTGTGTGTGTGGCAGGCTCAGGTCAGAAGTCTGGCCAGCATAGCGTGAAACCCCAAATTCCCAGGGTAACCTGTATCATTAATTGCAAGGTGCCATTTCTCAGACCTCCCTTTGTCTTCCAGGATGTCGGGATATGGTACATCTTCCACCGGGTTCCCACCGGGCACTCTGAGGGGCGATATCCAGAGGGACAGGCTGAACATACCCCCTTGGGAGTATTTTACAATAACAGAGTCCACTCCAATTTCAAGGCATGTGCATGATTTTTATGTTTCTATCAACATAATAGTATGGCATAGGGCTGACTGCATGTGCTTCTCTGAAATCAGATGACTGTGGGTGTCTTACATTTTGATAAAGTTCTTTTTAACACCATACCAAGACACAATCAACTTTCGGGGTTATGGTCTTTTTAATCATTAAAGAGGGAGCTGAGCAGAATGAAGGTCCCATACCAGACACTTCAGTTGAGTGGCTGCATTAGAGGCCATAGGTACACCTACTGCTAAATGAGATTTAAGGAAAGACAGGCAGCACACTGAGCACTGCTGTTGGCCACAATGGTGCCAGGATATAGGGGGATGAGCAAAAATCCTTTGTCCCAGGGCCTGCTCATCACCTCTGGAAAATGAGACCAAAAATTCAAGGATATTTTGAAGAAAAGCGCTTTCCCCCAATATACTGCTGACATGAAAACATAACCTGTAGGTTATAAAGTGCATTTTAAACTCCTTTCTCAGGATTCTTTATTGAAATCAGTTCTGTGTGCCTTGTATATTTTACATCTTGGTCTAGGGCAGTTGCTGCTCTAGCCCAAAGTCTGCAAGTTGGCTACAGCAGCTCATGTTCTCTTTTGACTGTCGGGGGACTCATCACTTGTTATTTGAAGCCTTAATTCTTAACAACACTCTTTTTCCAAAAAGTTATCAAGAGCTTGGCAGAGTCCCTTATTCCTTTCTGCGAGGGAGAGAGAGAGTGGGAGTTCAGAGCCTTGCTTTGGGTCAGAAGACAGCCCAAGATGCTGATGTATAACATATGGCAGGGCAGGCTCTGTCCTGACTTCAGCGTGCTACATCCTGTGCTAGTGTCATGCTGAGCACTGCCAAGTGACACCGAAAGGGAAGAGAAAGCCCAGGCTGCAGGCGCTCCCTGTGCCTGCACGCACTGGCTGCCCACGTTCATTGATAAAAATCTGGGATCTCCGGTCTCTGTTGAGCGTTAACATAATTGGAGTCGTGTGCATTTCTAGGCTGGTTTGTTTATTGGAAAAGGAGTAAAGACAACAAGAGCCAACGCTGAAGATCCCAGAGAGTATCTCACTGTCGATAATGCCAGGTAAGCACATGCTGTATGGCTGAGTATTTTGGATGGTTCTATTGCTTCTTGGCTTCTGCATTGCATTTAGCAGATCGTTAATGCCTCGTTATGGCTGGAACGTCTGAGGAAAGCACACAAGCTATCTCTGATGTGCAGAGGATATGCACAGATATGCACTGAATTGTTTGTGTTATTACTGACAAAAAACGACACACATCCACTTGGATGAGGACTAAGCAATGAAGCATGTGAAAGGGGATCCAGATTACATTAGTCCATTAGTGGGTTTGTAAACTCTAACATTTAGTACTAATTACATCGAAGAACTCACATCTGAGAGGTGATGTAAGAGACTGCTGAGACTGGTCTAGGATTAATGAAGAAAATAAGTAGCCTCAAAGGTTTTTGTCAGCTGCTTTGAAACCTCTGAGCTTCCTTTCACAGAGTGGAAGCAGGTAAATTAAGGCCATTTTCTCACTCTCTGCAGTCCTATGGGTGTCTGTGAGGAGGTTGTGAGAGAAATCAGCTGCTGCTCCTGGTCAAGCCTTGTTTTTTTCTCTCCTCCATTATGCCCTATCAATGCTACCTAGGATGTTCCCATAAGGCTGAAAGGAAAGGATGACTATATGTCCCTTCTGAGACTTCCCTGCCAGGGTCACTCCCTTGGGCACTGAGGAGACATGTGCCTCTACATCAGCTGGAAGAAGTGGGAGGTTAAGGTAGACTCAGAAAAAGCAATAGTGATTTTTTCCCTAATTTTTCTGAATCTACCATTAACAGCCAGTATGGAAAGAAACAGCCTGTGAGTAATCGAGATGGGCCCAGTTCCCAGGGTGAATCCTTTTTTCTTTTGACAGCTTCTCTTTCAGCAGACAGAGAAGCATATGGAGGTCTGGTCTGTACAGGCAAGAACAGCAGCTCCAATTACTCTGTTATCTTTGCTGAATGAGATTTTTGAAAGTGCCTAATTGATTCTCTAGCATCAATACAGGGATTCTCAGTGGGCCTTGTAAGGACATCTACAAAAGGACCCAAGTGACTTGGGAAAAATGTTTTCTATGCCTCTAAAACACACTGAATCAAATTAAGGAGTAGCTGTGGGCCAATTGAAGTCTAGTGAGAAATCACCTGCTCATTTCACTGGGGCCAGAATATCGTCCTTATGAATGTTTCTTGTTTTCTTCTTTGTACCAAGGCACAGAAATGGAATCAGGCTAATGGCCTGACTCTAACCCAGACCATATCACCTCCTTAGACCCACCATGACAATATTTGGAAGCCAAACAAGGTCTGCTGGGTACAACTGCCTCTGTCTGAGGTCGATTCCTGTGCTTCCTGTGCTGTATTAACCAAGCTTCTTGCTTCAGGTTTCGCCCACATCAAGATGCTGATCCTGAAAAACCACGAGTTCCTGCTGTGATTGATGGTCTTATTGCTTTTAAAAATAATGACCATGGTGCCTGGGCCAGGGGCGGTGACATTATTTTCCGCAACTCAGGGTAAGTTACTGTAATGACCTGTTCTATCATTCCCCTCACAGCAGACATAAATAGGTCTGTAGGCCAAATTCACTGCAGACATTCCTCATCATTTACACCACTGTGTTTCTTCTGTCCCAGGTTTTCAGACAATGGAATTGGACTCACTCTGGCAAGGTAATTTCTTAAAATGGACCTTCTTCCCATTTTTCTTCCTCAGTGTAACATGCTCAAGAATGGAAGCTGAGACACTCCCCTGGTAATTAGTATTGGACAGGAGAAAAGCTCACATTTCCCTCTCAGACCACATCAAGTCTTCCCTGGGCAGCCATTAATACAAAAGGCAATTTATTCTTTCTCTTTGTCTCAGCATGTCTGGGGAATACATCATAATGGCTGGATATTTCCTCCTGAATGGGAGGTCCTGAATGGGAGGTCCAGATGCTCAAGCACGAAGCTACCTCAGCAGTAACTTGCTGGTTTCTAAATGTACTTTAAAGCAGCTTCTCATAGCAGGGCATGCACCTTCTTCCAAAATAAAGAAAAACTTCTACTGTGTTCGTGGTATAATTAAAAGTGTTAATTAATCAGTAGTGCTGTGCTGCAAGGCTACATGGTGTTTCTTTTCTTGCAGTGATGGGACTTTCCCAACAGATGAAGGCTCCAGCCTGGAGGTTACACGCTCAATTTTTGTTGGAGAAAGCAGCAACTTTGGCTCCCAGGGAGGACAAAACAGCTACTGGGGAAAAGGGGCAAATGGAGAATACAGAACACTGCCCAGAAATAAGTGAGTTATTCTTCTGCCATTTCTTCCTGGCATGAGCATAAGCTAGAAGAAAAGCCTCAGGAATTAATGTCACTACTGAAGGGTAATTTGTACCAGGTGTTTAAATTACTGTACAGGCCAGAAATAATAAGCATCCAAATAAACTCACTCTTTAGGCCAACAGCTTGAGAGCATTCCTGACTGAATGTGTTTGATTTAGTTCTCTCCTTAATTTATTAGTCACTGGAGAATGGATTAGAGAATCTGAAATATACCAAATGGCTTTTGTGTAGTGCTTCAGTAGCATAGCATTGAGGTGATGGTACAGCTCCCAAACACCATGACACCCTCTCTCTTGCAAGTGTAGCTGGGAAAACATGGCTAGTTTGACAAAGGAGAAATCATTTTTATAGCATCTTCTTTCTTTTTTGATAGCTGTACGTTATTTTCCTTTTTCAGCAGCAGAGCTCCCTCTCTAGCAACCACAGTGCCTACCCATATCCTCATAGCAAGGTGTGCTTCTCCAAGCCTAGATTCTGCCTTAATGTTTGGTTTTGGTAAAGCTTACCAATTATTAAACCCTCCACAAGGTATATAAAATTAAGTAATAAGCAGTACTCATTAGACATGCCATGCACACAGCCCTGGCTGTACATGTCTTGTCCATAAGTGATAACAGGAATGGGACCTCTGTAGGACAGTAAGAATAATCAGACCTATCCTCAGTTATTATTGGTGATTTTATTGAAATTGAAAAAACCCAAAACCTCTGTTGCAGTTCAGACAAGCTCTAATCATGTTTTTAAGCAATGTGCTCTTGCAAAGGGATATGACAGAATATCTGATATCTGTCCTTCTGCAAGTGCTTCCAAGGAGACACTTGCCTCCAGGGAGTCTGACTGCTATAATTTTCCAGTCATGCTGATGTTTTCCTGAGAAACCTGCCTGCCCTGGAACAAGGAACCTGATGGCAGTGCTGACATACAGCCCTTTGGGTCTTCCTCATGGTGATGAACTCCTGAGTGGCTGGGGGCAAGGGCTCTGAGCTGCTTTATTCCAGCTTGCAAGACTTTGGCAAGCTTATGAGTCATGTTTTTGGCTTTTGAGCCTCATTCTATACAGGATCTTCAGCAGAGTTTCATCTTTCATGTGTGAGGAGTCTTCAGATCCCAGTTTTGGGAAAGAAAAGGTGGTTTAGCTGCTTGTTAATGTCTTTCTATGCTGTCAGAAGACTTGGAGTCTTCCTACGCTTTTAACACAGGACTGTGTTGGTATTTATATCCCCCAGGACATTCCCTATTCGTGGATTCCAGATTTATGATGGGCCTGTCAGGATGGCAAGATGCACCTTCAAGAAGTTCACCCCAACTGTTGACAGACACTCAAGTGCCATTGGGTTCTTCATGAAAAACTCCTGGCAGATAAGCCCCCAGAACAATGTGTCACAGATCCTGATGGAGAAAAGTGTAAGTAAGAGAAGCAGAAATGTGTGCTGTTAGATTTGCAAGTTTCTGAAGTTTTTAGAAGTGATGAGAGAGCTATCCCACAGCAGGACTTTCAAGCTGTGGTGCTTGTTACACTGGTACACGCCAGCAATTTATTTTGCAACACTTTTTTCTTTTTTTTTAAAAATTAATTAAGTTATTTAATAGGCAAGTAAAATATGATAATACCTTATGCCTGGGCAGACATACATAAAATAATCTGCATTGGAGAAAGTTTTCACCTTGTAACCAGAAGACCCATAACACAACTCTTAGCTGGTGCAGCATTGCCAGCTGCTGAGGACCTGGGGAGGACCTGGCCTCAGAGGCTGAGAGGGTCACACATGAGATGTCAGGAGTCAGTGAACTGCAATACAGTTGTTCTACAGAAATAGAAAATACACTTAGAAGCAAAGCCATGACCCAGTTTCTGGGATCAGCTGTGAAATTCCTGCTGAGCACAACAGGGACCTGCTTTGAGCTGTGACAGCAGAATGAAGCTCTGTATCTCAGCCTTGGCAGGAGCTGTAGGATGCTGAGCAATTCCAGTCCTTGTCCTGGATTCCTGCAGGGATCATGGCCCTGGACACTTGGCTTGGGAAATGACAGATTCCACCTGGTTTGCTCCCAGGGGTCATGACCTCTCCTTAGATTTTTTTTCAAACAAGGTCCATACTTGTTAGAACGTCCATGAACTGCAGTAACTTTGGCTTGAGGTTTGGCTTTATCTTGAGGAAAATTTCCACTGCTCTGAGATTGACCAATATCACTCACTCTGGCAAGGAGACAGTTTGTCTGTCCCCTCTCTGGTACACTTTAGACCAAGAACCAGAGGGTATTTCATGAAAGGATGATGTTGACTGCAGTCACTTGACTGCTCCTCTAAAGGAAACATGGTTAGTGTATTTTGGGAAGGAGATCTTAGCTACCTTACGTGCTTTATGGAGCTGTGGAGTAAGGGCTAATTTGCTGTACCTTCTTCATGTCCTCCCTTGGGGAAATGGTAATGAGATGGTCATGGGGAACATGAATGAGAAAATCAACCTGGAACTGGGGAGGGGAGCCTACAGAAAAAAAAGTCTGATCAGTGGAGTAGAAGAGAATGGAAAATTTCCTCCAGTAATGGCTGTAGGACTCTGTCCAACAGAGTGGTTTCAGACAGGTGATATCTATGAACATTAGCAAAGGGGATGATTACACCTTGAATGGCTGAAAATGCAGCTCTTTAATACAGTCACACCATTTGAGGCCAATGAGCCTGTTAAACACCCAGCATTTTTTTGTCTGAGAGGCACTTTAGTACTGCTACATCTTTAAGATACAAGGTTTTCAAAGCAAAAATGGCCTGAAGACATCCTAAACTCTTCTGCAAAGCAAATTAAAGTAGTGGAGTGTAAGCCTATTACAAAAACACCCAAACAAAACTAGACCTTAATGACATTATCCCAAAAATTATTTATTGCATGTACCTTTCCAAGAAATATCCATTTTTGAATTTGGCATTTTATGAACTTAAAAAACATCTATGTTTGTAAGCACCTGCATCCTACCAATTTTCACTTTAATTCTGTTTTATCTGGATTGGACCCAGATGTGCTACATCTGATTTCAGACTTGAAGGGCCACAGCTAGTTTATTGTTTTGTTGTTCATTGCTATATGGGATAATATATCTTTGACTTGTTAAGATAGAGCCTGTAGACAATTTTAATTAATTTTCCATCTCCATGCTTCATTTTATTACTTTTTAAAGGGTGGCTAAGCAGTAATTCCCTAAAGGACATCATTTTACCATAGCTTTTTAAGAAGAAATTAAACATTACTGCAAGTTTTATAGTGATGACAAAACTATTAGTCATGCTAAAGGAATAATTGTATAATTAATCAGACTAATCAGAAGACTAGTTAGAAAACAAAATAATAAAGCCAATCAGATCTTGTTTAATTCCAGCATAAAAATAACAGTCAAGCAGAACAGAAGACCTAAACATTACATTACACAAAAAGTATTTCTAGTTGCCTTTCCGTTGACAAAGCTAAATCCTAGATATTATCTGTGCATTTGTCATTAACAACATTATTGCTAGGCTTGTTTGTTTGTTTTAAAAAGAGTGCTTTAAAAAAGTTATTTCAAAGCAGTGGAAGCAGTAGTTGGTTTTAACCCAGCTGAGGTCGTGACTGATGGCTGTGGTCTCCTGTCAGCCAGTAGGACCTGGAGAGCTCAAAGAAGATGGCACAGCCCAGAACAGAGCCATGCCCAGACAGAACATTGTGCATCGTTTTTAAGAAGACCTGATAGATCTCTTTTTATTCACAAAAAAGCAGCTTATTCATCCCCTGTCCCTTTGGGGTACAGGTCCTGTAGAACGAGATGAGGAGCTTTTGGGCTCCCATGAACAAGGCCACCTTCAGCAGGTGCAGGAGACTCACAAACTCTCCCAGTTTATGTCCATTGCTAAAAGTCCCTCCGGTTATTTTGTCCCTGCAGCCAGGAGCTCAGGGTGGATTCAAGCCTATTCTACTCCTATCTGTGCCAACACTGTGGCATCCCAGAAATTACTTGTGCCAAAGAAACCCCAGCAGTTTGTGCTGGGGGGGTTTGTGGTCCCCAGAAGAGCTCACAGGGGCCAGTGCTGACTTCTGGCTATGGAATAGCGACTCCCATGGGATTGCAGTCCTGCCTAGCTAGGAGATGGGAGCTTCCTAATGTTGACTTTACTATGTTTAGCCTGTGTTGTCTTAGTGCTGAGTTTCTGAGTCAAAGCACACATTTGCAAACAGTTCACGATGGGAAAAAGAAAAGAAGACACTGAGTTAAAGCCTGTTATCTCCTAAAAAAAAAAGAAGGCAGAAGAAAAAATTATCCCAACCGTACAGAGACTCCTGATCAAAGGGAACTTGGCAGGGTGAGGGTTTGCATCACTCCAGCAGAGTGAAAGCCATGGGGGCAGACTCCTTGGGTGGTAAAACAGATGAAGATTCACACTGGATGAAAATGGTCTTCTTAAAATGATAACAGTGATACAGTGGTATGTCTTTTGTTGGCAGTTTGTGCCAACACTTGAATTTTAGAAAAAGTTGCAAGTTATTACAATGCTTCCCGGTACATTATTTTTTTTTAATATAGAGAGTGCAGTCATCAGATCTTCCCTGCAGGTGTGTTAGATGCCTGCCTTTGGACAGGTTGAGTTAGCATATTCCTAAGAAATTACATGCTCACATAACCATCATCTGTCAGGTCTCTTTGTCAGGCTCCAGACAGGTAATTCAAGTAACCTTTATACCATATCACTCTGAGGTAGTCCACACTTAGTGAAAATTAAGTGTCTGAATGGCAATGTGGTATCTAGACATGGCCTCTCTCTGCACCCTCTTCTAGCTCATTCCTAGCTCCATGTGAACATACCTGAGGAGCTGAGTTTTTGTTCCTGTGTGTTCACTTAGAATAAAATATACATTGCCATAGCTGTAATTGCAAACCCAGTTAAACCCCTGTCCCTCAGCGTACCAAAGTAAGGTAACCTTGAGGCATATAAAGGAGGTGACACTGCTCATTAACATTTCCATTTAATTTCTGACTTTCAGACTTTTTAGAGGAGAATGTTAGAGATCAGAATAGCATTAGCACCAAAACTGTCTGCTGCTGCTGGATGGAAACATAGAGAGTGTTGATCAAATGTAAGCTGTGCTGGCTGTGCCTTCCTTTGGTTTGAAGTGCAGCTGACTTTGTTCTCCTCCCCAGTGAAGTGCCTGTTTTCATATTCAGCTCCAGAACTGCACTGTCAAAAAGTATTTATAAGAGACCTTTGAGCTGCAGCAGTGTTTACATTTTTTAAAATCTCCTCTTTTATAAATTAAAATGAGAGAAAAAACCCAACTTTTGGGATCTCTTACTTTGCCAAGTAGCCTTTTGGGAAAAACTTCCTGAAGTGCAGTGAGAAAAAGTTCTAAAAAACTCAAAAATACACATGTTTGGGCCTTCTTTAAAGGAGAATGTTTCAGGTGTTTATTTATGAGACAAGAAGGTGGCAGGAGAACGGTTCTAGGCTTCAATTTAATTTTAAATCAATCATGACTTTTATTCTTCAAGTAGTTGCTGCAGTGGTCATTCTTTTTAAGGCAATGGACTTCCCATCTATCTCAGAATCACAATAACCCTCCTATTCTCCTAAGACCTTCTGTTTATTATTGTTAAAATAAAGCCTTTAAAGCCTCTAGTAAACTTGCAGCCTAATCCTCCTGACCCTAACTCTTACTCATGTGCACAGTCCAATTAAAATTAGTTGGGCTAAATGGAACAAATTACAGTCCTTTGGGTTGGCATGATCCAGTCGCTATTTATGCTGTTTGCTTTCATGCACACTGCTGCTGGATTCATTTGGAATGCTTGACCTGGAGGAATTATTTTCTTGATTACTTCAGAACTTAATCTTCACACACTGTAATAATTTTTATCTGCAGACGTTAAAATATTCCGTGGTTTTTTTGGTTGTCTTTTTTTTTTTTTTTTTTTTTTTTTTTTTTTTTTTTTTTTTTTTTTTTTTTTTTTTTTTTTTTTTTTTTTTTTTTCTGAACATCTGCAGTTTCCTTGTTTTGCTGGATTTTCATATCAGGGCAGATATTTTTACTTAGCTACTGAAAAATCTTGAGAACAGAGATAATGAGGATAATGCTGCTTCCTGTTATTTCTATTTCCTAAAAAAAAAAAAAAGTTCTTCTTGGGATATATTGGAATGTGCACAAGAGCCAATTCTGAGAATTGCTGTCACTTTAAAAAGTTTTATAGAGTTTTAGGAGGAACGATTAGAAAAAAAATGGCACTCAGAGAACCACTAAGAACAGAGGTTGAAAATATATGAGAAAATTCCCCAAATATCCAGTAATTTTTGTTTCTCTTTTAACAGCTGTGATATTCTTCAGTAAATTTCCTAATCATCCAGCACTTCCTCCACTTTCAGTCATCCTCTTCCTTTTGCCACCACTCAGTTTATTGCTGTGTGACTTTAGGCAACACATGGTTGTGTGGGTGCATTTCAAAGAATGAAAAGCCCAGTTTTTTTGAAAATACCTCCTGGGATTAAGAAAAGAGAGGGAAAACCAGCATGGCTGGCATTTTTTTTCTAAATAGAAGAGGAAAAACAAAACTCTTTGCTCAGACAGTAGAGCTCTCGAGTTCCATCTGAATCACTGTTTTGGCTCTTAAAACACGGCAAGCGCAAGTCCTTACTTTGAGCTGACCAGTGATTTTTTTTTGTCTTATTTTCTCCTCTAGGTGGAACTGAAGGTGTTTTTTGGCAGACCGGGCCAATGGTTTGGAAACAATGACAATGATGGTGACAAAATGTCGATCTTCCATGACCTGGATGGCTCGGTGACAGGGTACCCAGACACCTTCGTAGGCAGAGCGGACAACTACCTGCTGCGTCATCCCGGGTGTCTCACTGTCCCACGCTGGAATGGGGTGATGTGTCCAGGGAAATTTGCACAGGTAACAGGGGGCAGCTGCTGGCAGCACCACGGGGTGTGCAGAGTGGGCATCCTCAGTCTGTGAGGCGAAGGGTGATGGCGTGAATTGTCCTCAAACAGTCTGAGATAAGAGCTGAATGATAAATTTGGTATAATCTCACTCCTTTGAGTGTCATCTGCCTAACTCCAAGGATTCAGTAAAGCTCTTATTGTGCAGTTGCCTGCTGCAAGGAGCCCCATCTCTTCCCATTGCCCATAAGAAGCTGCAAGTTGAAATTGAGTTAGAGGAAAGTTTGTTGTTTTCTACTTCCAGGCATTTGTCCACTCTATTATAGGGCTCTAGTGGATAGTTCTGGTGAATCAGGTTTCAGTAATGGAAGATGTTACTTCTCTGGTACACCCTACTTGTGTTCAGGATGGTGAAATGGGTGGTTGAGATGCAAATTCCCACTTATTTCCCATCCAGAAATCACGGGCTGAAGGATGGTCAGCCCTAGGTCAGCATGATCTTAAACCTTCACAGCAGTGAGTAACTGAATGTCACAATCAAATCCAGGGTATGCATGTCTCCATAAGGTAAAAGAAATTGTATGCATTTGCTTTAGTTGCATAGCAGAGAGCAGGAGTTGCTATTTAAGCATCTAAACACTGGACTTAAAAACCCTGGTGTGCTTTGGCTACGCAGAAACAGGACTGGGCTCCTCTGAAACACACCCATTGGATTAGGGTTTTGTCCTTGGCACTTAGTTTTGCTCTATTTCTCTAGAGAATTGGTCAACCCTGCTCTGGCAACCTAACGGTTAAATTCAGAATTGCAAACAAGCAGGCATTTATATTTTTATTTCTATTAATATACTCCTGGTTATGGCACTCTACATGGTGAGGCAGTTTTTCCACCATAGAAAAGTTCCTTGGCTAGGTTTAGGCAAGCATAAACATTTGCTTCTCTGGAATCCATTACTTACCAGAGTTTTTCAACTCATCAGCATCCAGCAGGATGAGTAAAGGTCATATTAAATGCTTCACTTTATGGGTTTTGGGGAGGGAAATATATGTATGTGCAGAAGAAGTATGTAGAAGAAATTGGTCCCGTGCAGCAGGGTTTGATTAATTTGAAGAGTATAATTGTCAGAGTATTTCAGCTTAACTCTTATTCGCAGCACCCTGACTAAGTGGTGATTTGTTTGTCTGCTAAATTCTGAGTGTCATACTTCAGATCAAAAGCTAAAACAGTGAATCCGATTATAGAGAAAGATGGTTTGCTTTGATCTTAGCAACTTAGTTACAAAATCTGTTTTTCTTTTCCTTTTCATGTAGCTCTGGTAGACAAGAACTTTTATTCCTCCCTAGTTCAAGCAGGTGAAAATGTCCTTTCAGCTGAAGGAAATAGTGACTCCTACGTTACTGCTGAATGCAGCCCAAGATAGTCAGTCTAGGGATGGGCTACTTGGCATGGAAAACTGAGATCCAAGTCCTTCAGCTAACATTGCAGGCAAATCCTTTCTGAGCTGAGTGCCTAGAGTACAGTTAATTCCTTTCTGCTTGGTTTCTTTCATTCCCATTTCATGCTCCTCTTCTCCTGGATGTAATTTGCCCAAGAAAGGAAACGCCTGGGGAAAAAAAATTCCTCTGGCAGTGTTTTTAGCTCTAAAAAATCCTGGGGACAGGCTTTCCTGAGGGGGTTTTAATCTGGCAGCTCAGGCTGACATTCCCACCCCCTTATGGTTGGTTCCTGGCCTTCCTCCTCACTGTCTCCAAGCAGCATCATGTCATGTTTCCCATGTGGTGCCCAAGACCTTCCTTGAGCAGGGAGCTCTAAATATCTCATGCTTAGGCTTCTTTTGTAGCCTAAAAAAAGGCTACCAAAGAAGGGTCCTGGAACCAGCTGAAAATCATGAAATTCACATAAGCAAGAACTACCAGGTCTTTCTGTCCTCCCCTTTCGCTTCTGCAGCCTGTAAGGTTGGTGTTGTCCAGACAAGATCAACCCCTTTGCTCTTTAATGAGAGCTGAAACTCTCATGTTGTAATGTAAATAAAGCAAGGCTTTGAGGAGGAACATTAAATAGAGGGAGACTCAGAGGGAAATCCCAAGAGCTGTCAGCACCACATCTTCTGGCAGTCCCTGTGAGTCACTCAGATTCCATCATCAGAGCACTGAGGTCCTCGGTATCCTGTCAACCTTCCTGTTGCAAAAGCCAATAATAGAAAATGTAGAGAGAGGCTCATTTCATAGTTCTCTTCATGTAGGTGTGTGAGATTTCCAATGGCACCGAACTGGAGACTCCTTGGCCCCTCCACTACTTGTTAAAATGTAAATGAGATTCCTGAACCTCAACTGATTTTTATATAAATTGTAAGACAAGTGCCTTGGCTCCCACTGGGCAGCTGAAGCTGTGCACTTACTGCTTGCCTGCAGACTTCACAGCAACTCCTGAGGGGAGCCTGTGGAAATTCTCCTTTTTGGTATTATTCTTTATTAAAATAAGCAGAGTTTTTGGCAGTATTTGCTATTTTCTTTTATAAGCTTAAAAAGGTGTTAGACAGTCATAAGAGACTGCCACTTGGCCAAATTAGTGTCAGCTTTGAATTAACAAAAAATCGATGCCTTGAAATTTTAAAATACCGCAGTAAATGCTGTTGATTTTGCACCAGTTCACTTAGTCACTACCAAACTGCAGTTGGCTGAAACAGAAATGATTCCATTTTTGTTAACTCCGTTCTTGCAGTGAATGTTTGCAATTGCACTGATCCTGCACCTCCAAGTTACAGCTGGTTTTGTGGACTTGGAATCTCTGTGGCTGCTTTTGGTACTGATGCTCCTAAATGTACAGCAAGCAAGTGATGCAGGAGGTAGTGAGTGGTGCTTTTCTAGCCACAGGGAAACCCTACAGTCCCAGGGTATCTGTGGTGCTCGAGGATTATCAGCACCTCACAGACTGCAGGAAAGAAAAGCCTGTGAGACAGTGTCTGTTTTCAGCTTACGGTGTCTGTTTTTTGGACAAAGATGCCCAGTTTTGGTCTCTGATGTACACCAAGTGAAACTCAAAGTAGTTTTCCTGATGTCAGTGACACCCTAGCATGTCTTAGAGAAAGAAAACTACACTTTTTTCTTTCTGCAAGAAAGATTTTTTAAAGTATTTACTTAGAAATTTCATCAACAAAATGTTTCTGCCTAAGAAATTAACCTTTTTTTAATGGTCAGTCAACCAGAAAGGGAGAAGATATGCTTTGAGCTTCTAATTTTTAAGGTGTTTCTCCCCAGCTTGACAGCTGACAGCACCACAGAACAAAAGCAAGGGTAAAGAAACCAGAAAGCAAGAAAACCTTTTCTCAGAAACCAAGACTGTCAGTTCCAGTGCTTTGCATGTTGCTTATCTCCATACTCACTATCCAACTGAATAGCAGATTCCTGTGAATTGTAAAGAACTTATCTTCTCAGTTTCACAATCTACTCGGGAAAATTGCCATGTAAGCACAGGGAAATCTGACACATCTCTTTAGCATGAAGTGTTAAGCAGCTAAAATATCAACTATGTCCATTAAACCATCCAGGCAAGTAGAAGGTTCACATTTTATAACATTTTAACCAGCTCTTCTTTTTCTATTACATTAAGTTGTCACCACTTCTTATATTGTAAAGTCTCTTTACGACCCACTTTCTTTTAAAGATTTTGATGCAGTCGACCAAAAATCATGGAGATGTTGCTAAGGAGGATGGATTTTTCATTCTAGAAGTAGATGAATTTTTCATTTGAGTCCTGCTGACTTACTGATACTCCCTATAGGCAAAGCAGTCTCTTCACACAGAATCTGGATTGACTGATCATGGTATTTACCTGCTGCAACCTCCTTTAGTGAGAAACGTTTTGCAAAATCCATGAGATCAACTACTGTATCCCAATGGGACTGAAAATCCCATCCTTGGTGGCTTGCAGTTCTGGAAGGCAGTCATTCAGTGGCCACTGATGGTGATTGCAGGAGACCAAGTAATTTTACAAATGTTTCTATAACACATATGTGACACTAACTTGTTCTAGTAATTGACATTTCATTCTCAAAACAGCTGTCACCATTATCCTTAACGTCAGACCTGTGACTTGGTGCCCAGGCCTCTGGAGGAAAATGTTACCAACAAATCTGTGACATCATCTCATCATCTTATTGAAGCATTCTGCAAACTCCTGCTGTCCTTCCTTGGACTCATTAACCATACTAGCAAGCAGCTTAGGCCACACATACCTCACTGTCTTTTTTTTTTCTCTTACACAAATAGCTTAAACTACATAGGAATCTTTTATTCTTGGCAGTCTGTAATTTTGGAAACTTTGGAGATCACTGAATGCACCTCCTTCTTTTCTTGGTTTAATCTATCATTGGTCCATTTAATTTTGTAGTCAGTTCATTCCAACTGTTCTTTGTTAGAAAATGCTGTTTTGATTCAGATAAATTAATATACTGATGGGATTTTAACTTGGACATTCACCATGAGGCTGCTGAATTCAGGGGTGAGAAAAAGGGTAGGCAAAGGTGGCCTGTCTTTTGGAGGTCCTGAGGAGCTCAAACTCCACATCAGGAACAGGCACAATCACAGAGTCCTTCTGAGTATGAAACTGGAATTGGGAGCTGAACTCACCAGAGTCCCCAGCTGAAATAAGCCCACAGATAGACCAGTGAGAGATAGTCTGGTTTTGCAGAGCTTTCAGTCTATGAAGAAAAGAGGAAGAGAAGCAGATGTGGAGATGTGAGGGCCGTGCATTGCAAGGCAGGTACCCTGATAGATGGAGTCGTGATCTCTCTGCTAGTCTTGGCTGCGCTTGTATCCTTGTGGAATTAAAATCTGATAAGAAACTACTGCCTCCATTTAGATCTACCTCAAAGACACAAATGGAGTTTAAAAATAATCTTGATGTACACATGCTCATGTGGAAGCTTAGACATTCCTGAGCTACCATGGATTTTTGTGTCGGATGTTTTAAGTTCCTGATGCAAAGAGCCTTATTCTATGCTGTAGGAGAGTGAAGGCAGCAGGATTATAGGTGTCCTCATCTGTCCTCAGTGCATCTGCAACCCTTCAGGGAATATGACAAGCTGCCTGCTACAGCCCTGCGTGCAGAGACAGATTGGTATGACTAGCTGTGCATCCCACTTCTGCACTGGAATTTCACGTGGCGGAAAGCAGGGGAACATCACGCGTCAGCCTTAAAACTAATGTTTTAAAACTAATGTTTGCCACATGAACTGGCCTTCGTTTGAGTGATGGCAGGGCAGAAAAAGCATGCAGCTGGAGTGTGGTTTTGTAATTGTTCTGTAGAGTTGAGATACAGGTCAGAGGCATCTGTTGGTCTGTGTGCAGAAGAGCTTTGCTGAAGTCTGTGGAATATGGTATTTAGTCTATAAGGTCATATAGTCAGATCACTGATTTTTAGCCCCCAGAATTTCAGCCTAGTCTGCTACTTGAGAGTGAAGATGTGGATTCCATTAGATACCTGGACCTAATCCAAAGCCCATTGAAATAATTTCAGTTTTCTGTGTTTTCAATGGAATAAGCCTGTTTTTAAAGTGCAGTTATTTGAATTCATAAAAAGGAGTTACTCTGCTATACTTCCGTGATTACCCTTCTCCCTAAAGATTTTGAATAGTGAACATTTTTATGGCACTGTACAATTCATATCTCACTTCACAGTGTCCCCACGGATGGCTGCAGATGCTATTTCTGGTTTACCTTTTTATTTGAACTGGAAACGTTTCAGTGACTTTCCAAATGCTCTGAACTCTTCATTGGCAAAAGCCACTTACAGGCAACGATGATCAAATGCACATGTTAAGGCTGTGCCTGGCTGGCTTAATGGATGTGTTTGTCATTTTCCTTTCACCCTCAGCTTTATATCCAGGCCAGACGCCCTGAGAACCTGACCTTGTCCATCGCCAGAGCAGCCTACCCTTCCCATCCTGTGAGACTGCAGGGTGTGAACAGAGGAGCACCGTACCAGCAGTACCAGCCTGTCGTCATGCTCGAGCAGGATTATGTCATCCAGTGGGATGGCAGAGCACCTGAGGATGTTATCCTGTACCCCATCAACTTCAACAGGTACTGTCCTGTGTTGTTTTCCAAAGGTCTGGAGCTTTATCATTTTTCCAGGTTATTCACAAGTAACCTTTCAAAGGTCTCAGCAATTTCTGAGAGTGTGGAAGCAAGGTGTTAAAGGTTGGCACTTAACTGATGCAGAGAGATGCTTCTGCTTTCACTTTATTCCAGCTTTTTTTGATATGCAGAGATGTTTCTCTTTCCAGAAAGTTTTGAAATAGAATCCAAATAAGTCCTGGCCTGCTGTCCCTGAAATCCCTCCAGAAGAGTTCTGGCTCTGGTACATTTGTTTGTACTGGTTGCTGCACACATAATTTATCTCCCATATATATATAAAGTGCAGAAATATATCAGAATGTGCTCAAAATTTTACATCTTCTGTAATCCAAATAGCACTGGAATCAATGTTTCTTTTTAGCTGAAGTTTTAAAATGTTCGATCTCAGCATAGCAAAATTGCAGGCTGCGCTGTTTTTATTTCCCATGTTTTCTTCTAACATTATATAAAGACAGGATATATCCATTTTAGATGCTACTTTTGTCCCTTGCAATCTGTTTCACTTTGCATAACTTATGGGGTTTAGTACTGTTCTTACTTCAGTGAAATTACTTGTGCTTTGCACTGGCACCACTGTTAGGAGAGAGTCCTGCAACCCAGTCAGCTTAGCAGGGACAGGCATTGCCATGGTCTGCACAGAGGAGATGCTGCAAGGGATGAGCAGCACAAGAAAGCCTGGCCATCACCTTGGGTTCTGCAGTTTGTGTGAGTCCTTGGTTATTGGCAAAAACACGCCACAGTAAGAGAGAGGTTTGTAAATGAAACCTTACATGATTACACATAACAGAGGCTCGGGTTTCCAAAGCAGGTTTTGGACAGTTGGAATGAAAGAAGGCAGAGGCACTGAGGGCTTGAAGCAGCACGTACTGCTGGTGAACCTGGAGGGTTCCCAAGTCCCTCCAGCATTATCCACCAAACCCCACACCCATCCGCTGCTCCTCCAGCAGAGTCTCCCTGCTGTGGTTTTAGCGTAGGATCGTTTTGGCAAAAGCTTGAGTTCTATTTGGTTCCTCTGAACCTTGGAGCTGAGAAAATCTGGGGGAAAATACTGTTCTTAGTTCCCACTATGAAGCACTGTTGGAATGCACTGAGAAGGGCAATGTTTCTTCATTATACATGCCCAGTCCAGCAAGTGACAGCCAGCTGGGCCTCTTGATTTAGAGATGTAGTAGCTGTAGGGCCATGACTGAGTCTCTAGATGATTGGTGTTTGGACACTCCTGTCACAGGGGAATTATTAGAATCAAATCAGTGTTTTCTGTATTAATATATCTTTGTGCACTTTAAGGAAGAGGAAAACCCATTAGTCACTCATGGACAAGCTGAGCTTTGCAATTATTATCTGTCTTAAAATGGTGAGCTATTTCCTTGCAATTACAGGGCTAAATCTTCTGACAAGTAACCGATGGTTGCTCTGTCACTGTGCCAATTCATACTTGCCAAAGCTTTGGCCCAGAGTCTTCAGACACAGATTTAAATTTGAAGGCAGCCCTGAGTCTTTGGTCAATCTCAGCCTGAAGTTTAGCTCTTATTCAAGCAGCAACTTAACTACATTTTACTATTGAAAACCACAATGTGGTTGTGATTCCCTTTGTCTTGTTTGAAACCAGTTATTTGAACTGGGCAAAGGTTTGTAGTGTTTTCTGATCCAGAAACAGTTGGCAAGATATCTGTTTTGAAGAATTATAAACAAGAAGTGTACTGTAACAAAGGAAAACCACAGTTTCACTTCATTTCATTTAGAGCTTCTTGCTAAGAAGTAATTGGGAATGAATTGTGTGGCTGCTCTGTCTACACCTCAAGTATGCTGGATGCTCACTAATGTAAGACTTCAGGCTGATGCAACAGTGAAATGTCCAGACTGCATGGAAAAACATGGAGAAAAGAGATTCCTGTGGAAGGGTAAAGGAATTGAGGCAAAAAAGAGGCTTTAGGAGTTTGGAGGAAAACAAGTGCCTGTCTAAGCAGTTCCACGTACGGCTTTTACTAAGCATTGTGTTCTAATTATTTCTGGAATAGAAGAAATCTTGGATTGTGGAGCCCAGAGTAATCAGAGATAGAAAATCAGGGAAACTATTTTACCTGTCCCAAGTGGCTTTATGTTTTGTTTGTTCTTTTAAAATTCATAATATTGAATAATATCCCAAAAACAAACTCTTAAAATCATAACATCTGTGCCAAATACATGATGAAAACCAAATAATGCTTAAAACTTTAATAGTAATATTGTAGGATTAATATTTTCAGACAAAACCTGAGTGAACAGTTAAACTATTTTCAATCTGGTCATTGTAAGATGATGGATGGCCATATCTGGGATGCTGCCTTTGCAGCTGGGCAGCCCTCACGCTTCTGGAGTGATTTGCTCTGTGCTGGCTAAAGGAAGGTCAGAGGGGAAATAAGGAATTTGACAGGGAGATGTGTACCAGGATTGGGATTTCTGTGGAGGTCAGGCACAGCACTAAAGTTGAATACTTGCGTGATTAACACTTTCCCTGCCTCTGAGCCACTGTAGAAAGACCCAATAGAAGTCATGCCAGCCTGTTGGAAGCCTGGAACGCCCAGATTCCTGGGGTGGGCAGGAGCTGGTTGGGATGAATTCACATGACTCAGCTGGAATTGGCAGCTGTGAGCTGCAGATCTTGTCCAGTGAGTTCAGAGGCACCGCTCCGGTGGATTTGCTCAGCAGAGGAGGACACCAGTCAGAGCAGTCACCCAGCAGATCTTTTTCTTGTGCTTTCTATCTTCTTTCTTTCTATCTTGCTGCAGTACTTGTGTCTTCCTTGCACTGATTCAAACCACATTTAGGGTAATCCTTCAATTTCTTCGCTTCCATCAAAATATGTGGCCAAACCGAATGGAATTGCTGTGTCTCCACGCTCAGCCCTGTGGTGCAAAGAGGCTTTTTGACACTTGCCAGCATCCCTCCCAGTGAGAGATGGACTGGTTTGCATTTGTCAGGGTAGCTGTGTCTCTCCTTGGCTTGATGGGCAAACATAAAGCCTCGGTGGAGACCCACAGGCTCTGTTTTCAGGCTGCTGGGGAGCACTGCTGGCTCAGCAGAAATGCCTGCTTATGCTATGGACAGGGTTGTCTGTCTAATGGCTGGGAGTCTCCCTGTGAGGATGAGAAGGTGGATGGGTATTGATGCTTCTGGAAAGAGGCAGTGCAAGGCAAGTAACATCTGAATGTTTTGGCGAGTGAACAGAGGGAGAGCAGAGGCTGGAATTTTAATGACTAGGAATGAAGTGTGCTCCAGAATCAGTCCAGATCTGTCGAGGGTGTTTTTCAGGGCAGAAAGTGTGTGCAAAACCTTCATGAACCCTCAGACCCCTTCGCCATGGGTTTTGTCTCTTTGTTGGAGTGGTTTTCACCTTCTCTGTCCCCTCAGAGCTGTTTGTACTTTTCCATTTGATATTTTGTTGTTGTTGTTGTTGTTTTTTCTGCTTCACAGAAGTATGAGAGCTATCTGTAAGACTAAGTTAAGGGCTTTCCTCAAAATTATTATCCTGAAGAACAGAGGTCCACAGAGAACATTAAGCTTGTTACAAGATGTGGTAGAGGCTAGTAAATCAGGAGGACAGGATGGAAAACATTATTTGGTTGCAAGTAAGTGCCTTCTTTCAGATGCTGGAGAACAGTACAAAGATTGGCACTTCGTACATTAATCAGAGTCAGAAATTAAGTCCTTCAATTTAATGACTCGGGCTTTGTGCCTGTGCAAATTTTCTAATCATAAAGAAGCAAAGGCAAATACTATTATCAAAGGCTCAGGGCTCCTCCATAAGTCAGCCAGGCTTCATTGTGCTATCAGCACATCCAAAGATAAGAATGAAATCTCCTCAAAGCACATATCTGAGGTATAGTGTAATAAGTCATTTTGTTGGAGTGGCCTGAAAGCAGTGGCAGCTAGATTAACCATTCCTTGCTTTTAATAAGGACAGGGAAATACCTCTACACTTGGTCTGCTAAGGCTCAGAGGGAAGGGTTTTTCCCCTGTTAGGGCTCTCTGCTGTCGTTTGACAGGGAGAATTCAGGGAAATGTGAGCAGTTAACAGGATAAAGAGGGTGGGTTTTGTAGGTGGATTGTCAAAGTCCTGCAAGAGGGGGTTTTTCTTTGTACTGCACCCTGCCAGATGCTGGCTCCAAGGACAGTGCTGAGCAGGATTTCCCAGGCTCTCTCCATAGGTACCCTCTGAGCTTTGCCTGGAGGGGCACAGTGAGGCTCATCATATTGGTGTCCTTTGCGGCCTTGATGCAGGAGTTCGATCTTTGTGAGAGTCTTAAAAAAATAAAATTAAAAAGTAAAAAAGGCAGGGAAGGCCCAGATTTCTTTTCAACAACAAGAAAAAGGGCAGATGTTCATGTGTGTGCCCAGGCACATGTTCAGCCTTTCCTTTGCTGTGGTGTTTGTGCAGGAATGGGCACAGGTTCAGTGCTGAACTCCTGTACTTGCTAGGCTGAAGGCCTGTGCTTGGGCTTGTTATCTTATTCACCAGTGAATAATCTTAATTGTCTGAAAATTCAAGAGACCAGAATGGGCTTGTGTCTAAATTTTTCATTAAAAATACTGGACCCTTTTGACCTGGAGTGGTACAAAGCCTCCAGGATGCTGCAACCCATCCAAAGGTGGAGATTTCAGGTCAAGGAAACTTATGCAGCCCAAGTCTGCCCTGAGACTCTGGGGGACTCATTATGTTTGTATTTGCCAAGGTTGTGTAGGTAGGATTTTTTCCTATGGCTTATTATTCAATGCCATTCTGATTCATACTTTCAGCTACTTGTCATTTTTGTGATTAAATTCCTTAGTGGTGATAAGGTATGGAGAAAAACAAAGATAACAAGACAAGGCTAGAATGTGCTCATTGCAGTCTTGCCCAGTTTAGGGATATTTCCCAAATTGTTTCTTTTTCAGATTAGCTTGAAATGAGCTTTTCCTCTTGCTTC